GACTTATGGATTTTTATATTAATAAAATACATGGGCCGATAATATTTACCATATGCTTAGTATTTCCATGCCAGCGATGCTCGTAACCTGCTCGATTTAAAAACAGCTATTTGAAACAAAGACTCATGAAATCACAAAGGAAACTGTTAAGTACGTATTTCACACCTTTCCTGCGACCGCGGTAGAGACCCCTAATTATAAGCTGTCCGCGGCTCTCCTCGGTGTACCGCGGAAAGCCGCGGTGATTACCCCGGTGAACCGCCAGTTTGATTTCCTACTCTCCCCTTACTGGTACAATCAAGGTTTAACTAAATGGTACTACGGTTTGTGTTTACTTGCATCTCATTGATTCATTCAGAAATGAATACAAAGCTTCAACATTTTTAGTTGTGTTGATATAGCCTTCAAAAGCGCATCTTCCCACCATAGTGACGATCGGCTCACTGACCCCCAAGCTCAAAAAAGTTGACAAAGACGAATACTGAATGCAGCGTTGTGTTTTCCCAGTATGCAATCATGTTGTAAAATTGGCATAAATCATCACTGGGCAAGTTAGGGCTTAAAAACAAATTTGACAGTGGGCACATTAAATAATTGATCTGGTCAACAACAACAAACAAGAAAACCAAATATGTTTCACAAAATTTTACTTTATTGCCTATAGACTTTATGCAAAACCTGTACACAAAACCTTTACAAAGAAAAACGGGATGAATCTAGTAATATATATTATTTTTATATATTTTTTCTGCCGTGTAGGAATATTCCATTTGATGCTCAAGAAGAGGATGTAACTGAGCTTTTTGGAAAACACGGAAAAGTAAACTATTGTAAATTGGTGATCGATCCATCCACAGAACATTCAAGAGGTGAAAATTCAATAATGATATTTAGAATGTATGCATTTCATTAACTGTGTAGATTGTGTGTTTTCTTGATTAGAAACGCAAGTGCATAAATATGTTTGAAATTATAACAAAAACAATGAGATATAATATTCTGTTTTCTTCCAGAATTATAATTCATTTGTACATTTTTGTCTATCTCTACAGGTTGTGCATTTGTAAAATTTCGAAGTTCGACTGAGGCTGAAAAATGTCTTGAAAAGAACAGTAATGAAGATGGGGTAAGACATTTCTCGATTTGAGATCATAAAGACAGTGTACAAATGTTGTACATGTAGGATCCTAAGTAGTGATATACAGGAATAATAATGTAATACTTGTAAGTAATATGCTATGAAACAATGTTTCACTGATTGCACAAGTGTTTTACTGCACCTAACTGATGCTGAACTGTGTATAAAATTGCTATAATGCCATAACGTGTATTTAATTTGTTATTAAAATTAAATTTATTTCTTTTTAATTTTATTTCAATTTGTTTAAATTCTCAGGTGAATGGTTTTATGCTGAATGGACGCAAACTACACTTGTCAATGGCATTATCGAAAGAAGAAGCAGAAAAGCTAAAAAAGGACAAAAAAGAACCAAAAGAAAAGAAAGACAAAAGAAATCTTTATCTTGCCAGAGAGGGCAGTAAGTACTGAAAATAACTTTTACCAGAATTGTGTTATTATGTTAAGATCATATTGACTAATCAAAAATGGTTTATTGTGAATACTTGACACTTCAAATATCTTTTTCTGAGTTACACTTGAGAAGTATACTTTATTAGGGAGTTCATCAGAAGGCTGACATTGTATACCCGCTGTGTTTTTAATTGTATGATTCGTATATATTGCTTATCCCATGCTATATGATACTGAATATAAAAGTTTATAACACTTCTTATTTTGCAGTGATTCGTCCTGGTACGAAAGCAGCAGAAGGGGTTTCCAAGGGCGACATGATGAAAAGATTCAAGATGGAGAAGGTCAAACGACAGAAATTACAGAATTTGAACATCTTTGTTTCACCAACAAGGTTGAGTGTCCACAATTTACCAACGTCTGTAGATAACAAAAAACTTCGAGAATTGTTCTGGAAAGCAGCTGGTGATGATAAAGCCAAGATAATTGAGGTTAGTTTTCAACTTGAAAATTTAATCAGTCTGTACTGCACGTCAGATATAATTCTTTAATTAAATCATATCATGAATTTTTAATAACCATAAGTAAAAATGGTCTGAGAGGACACGTGTCAGTTCTTTCACAGACTCACTAATTTTCATTAAAATTTCTGCATATAGTAAAACACTTTAACTCAGCTTGGAATTTATTTTCACGATTTTCGCTGAAGGGATGATACAGTGAAAACAAAATCCAATGAATATACCTTTTTCTCCATATTTCAAATTCAACTCATCAAAAATCAGTGAAAGTTATCCCATACAGAACACCAAAAATATCTATTCAGCGAAAATTAATTACAGCTAAAATAAAGTATTTTACAGTATATAAACTTGTCTTGTGATTTCGTGACCATCTTGCAATTTGCGCGAGATCTTTATCGAATATCACAGCACTTGCATACCCTACATCTTATAAATAGTTGGTCTTAATCCTTAATCACATTTTGGCAAAGATGATATTAAACTCAATTATTGATTGAAACAACCATATAATATATAGTGCTAGATTATCATAGAAAACACATATAAATATCGTATATAATTAATAAAAGTGACCAATTATGACAAGGTTACAGAAGTAGAAAGTGTTTCTGAATTTGTTCTGCGCATGCTGTTGATACATTCTGACCTCAATATAACACCAGGGACAGAATATATTGCTTAATGAGCACTGAATCAGTAGTTCCAGTAGTACGTAAAATCTGTATTAGAAAAAACATCCATTTTTTTTAACAAAAAGGGAAGCCAAAATTTACCAATTCTCATATTGAAGCAGCATTCCTTCTGTTACATTGTGCCATTTTTAATAGAAGACATGGTTTCTGATACAGATTTTACACACTTGCATATAAAATATGGTCAAAATAAATCATATTTGAATGATTCAGTATTTTTATTTTATTCTGTATAATTATTTGTTTTTATTAGAGATTCGCTACAAATAGAGCAAATACAGTATACTTATTCTGTGTTTCCATTTGCAGGCCCGAGTGATGCGAGATATGGGACGTGTAAATAGCCGTGGAGTGCCCAAGTCACTGGGATATGCCTTTATTGAATTCACAGAACATGAACATGCTCTGAAAGCACTCAGACATGTCAACAATAACCCAGAAATATATGAACCTATTAAGGTTAGATGAATATTTACCATATTATATTCTACAAACAGCTCCAATAATGGCTTTTGTATAAGCAATGGAGTTATATACCATATTCAGATTTAGTAACATGGGGTATAAATGAAGGAGTTATATTCCACAAACAGCTACAATAATGGTTTAGGGTATAATATTGGCTTGTGGTATAAATGAAGGAGTTATATTCTACAATCTCCCTAATACTGGCTTGGGGTATAAATGAAGAAGTTATATTCTACAATCTCCCTAATATTGGCTTGGGGTATAAGAAGGAGTTATATTCTACAATCTCCCTAATATTGGCTTGTGGTATAAATGAAGGAGTTATATTCTACAATCTCCCTAATACTGGCTTGGGGTATAAATGAAGAAGTTATATTCTACAATCTCCCTAATATTGGCTTGGGGTATAAGAAGGAGTTATATTCTACAATCTCCCTAATATTGGCTTGTGGTATAAATGAAGGAGTTATATTCTACAATCTCCCTAATACTGGCTTGGGGTATAAATGAAGAAGTTATATTCTACAATCTCCCTAATATTGGCTTGGGGTATAAGAAGGAGTTATATTCTACAATCTCCCTAATATTGGCTTGTGGTATAAATGAAGGAGTTATATTCTACAATCTCCCTAATACTGGCTTGGGGTATAAATGAAGGAGTTATATTCTACAATCTCCCTTATAATGGCTTGGGGTATAAATGAAGGAGTTATATTCTACAATCTGCTCTAATAATGGCTTGGAGTATAAATGAAGGAGTTGTATTCTACAATTTCCTTAATATTGGCTTGTGGTATAAATGAAGGAGTTATATTCTACAATCTCCCTAATACTGGCTTGGGGTATAAATGAAGGAGTTATATTCTACAATCTCCC